CAATCATGGAAATTATTTTCCATTTTTTTTTTGTTCAAAAATATACCGAATAACCTATCACTGTTAATCACAAATGCTAAGTAACTTTTACAAATATAATCAAATAAACCTATTACTTACTTTTTTTTTAAATCTTTTTCATCAATTAAATACTTATCTTATCCTAACTATCTATACTAATATTATAAAGAGGCAAGATTTGTATGTTTGTAACAAATAATCTGTCAAACTACTGAACCGGTTTCAAATATTAATTCATCATAAGGTAGCTACATTATTTATTATTACATTTTTCTTTATTTAAGTACATTTTGTCCGAGTGACATAGGCTATATTTTATCCCGATAAATAAATTTGGCCCGAACAATGCCCGGGTGGATCACTAGTAAGTATAATATAATATTATAGATGCGAAAGTGAGTTTGTTTGTTGCGCTTCCGTGCCCTAATAGCTAAATCGAATATAATGAATTCCCATATAGAAGTAGATGGGAACTTGGTTCTTAGCTACAACATCGCAATACTTATAGGCGTAGGGTGATGAAAGGGGTGATTTACCTAAAAAAATCTACATTATATACTTTGAATTTTGCAGAATTATTACAAAACCAATATTATCGCGAGCTGATTAATAAATACAGGGATTCCAATAAGTATGTACTTACTAGCGAAAAATGGGTTATTTGTCATTATATTAAGTAAACCTTTTTTGTAACATTAAGTAATATCGTTAAAAAAATGAAAAACAGTAAAATTCCGAGTTTTTCATTGAAATTCAATAATCATAAATACCTATTATGATAAAATATATTTTTCATCATTTAATAAGAAGGAACTGTATCACAGTTTTATTGTTAGTACTTCGTATAGGATCAGATACTGCGAATACCCCATTTTTTTCTTTTACATAGTACACCGCGCTATCACTTTGTCATCGTTGTAACTTTTTAAATATTTGTCGAAATGACATAGCGTAAAAAGCAAAGTTTATCGTCTTTAAATATCAAAAGCGATAAAAGTATTTGTTTTGATAAAAAATGATTTGTTAATACAAAATGTGCATTTTGGAAATAGATATCAAATAATATTTTAGTTTTGATTCACTATTTTAGCGGTAATCACTTACACATTAAAAATAGATATATGGTGTCACGGACTTTTTTTAGAACTATTTAAGAGATACATTTTCACTCTACATTACATTCATGTAACTTTTATTGTTTTTGCAGTGCAGGCCTAAATGGCTCGCAGATGGGAGATTTTTTTCCGTCTTATGTGACACTTATTGTTATATATTGGCCAATTCACTCAATAACTACATAAATTATTATATATATGTAATTATCATATGTGAGCTATATTACTGTTAAGTTTCATTAAAATCCATTCAGTATTTTTAGGTGAAAGAGTAACAAAGATCCATACAAACGTAAGATTGAAATTAAACGCGTAAGTGGTTAATATACAACTTTAAAGCGTTGTAGATCCTAAACAATCATATAAAATGAAAAATGGTGTTAGGAACCTAAATATGATTTTTGATTACCTAGACAGTGATACCCCACTCGACATATTTTGGAAACTTATTTTTTTTACTTCGTCACAATATGGCGCCTAATTTTGCCCATATTGAATTTTGATTACTATCATATCTTTAGTAGCACTCCCATGATTGAGACGAATCGATTGATGTATGAATCTTCAAAATCGGTCCAGGCGTTTGGTCTCTAGTGTGCCACAAAGGAACAAACATACATATATCGACTGTTAAACACATAACCCTGTCTGCGCGTCGCGCTTCGCGCTCTTGCATTGCGCAGCCGGGTAAAAATACTTAGGCACAAAATTTTCAACCGACCGACCCTCGTACATGCAACGAAACTACATTTATACATATAAATAAAATACTTCATATTAAATTGCAAAAAAAAATGTCTCGCGACATCTACAAAAGTTACGTAATTTGGTCTTGTTTGGTGATCTTTAACTGCACATTCTCAGCAATTTCTACATTACGTCTTTTTCACAAGATCCGCTTAATCATCTGGGCCTAATGTTACGTAAATTATTGTTCAAAATTACCTGCATAAAAATATTGTCAGTGTGTTTATCATTATCCTAATGGTAATATGTAATTATAATGGTTTACAGATTGACTTTAAATTAATGTGAGATAAAAAATGTTTACTGTAAAAGTTTCCTAGCGAATTAACAACACCAATTTATTGGTTTATGAGACTAAAATAACGTTTGGTACTAATAATTGATAACATCATGCAAACCCAATAGAATATTTTATTAGTCTTTAGTCGTAGCGGAATAGCGAATAATAACATTATAACTATAACCACAAAATAGAAAGTTGCCAGAAGGACAGCTTCGTCATCCTCGAAAATAATTAATACCATACCTTAACTTACCGCTATAGATTTTGACAACACGTTTTACTAGTCGCGATAAATTCTGTTTGAAACTGTGTAAGAATTCCTGTAAACGTAACGTAAATGTATGCGTGACACAAATTACTCTTTGTTCTGAACCGACTCTCGCTGCTTGGGCGCGGCGGACACGTACTTTGTGACTAATCATAGAAACGACCTAATACTGACAAAAGCTATTTTCTTATTGGCCGGACTGTATTGTTGTTATTACTCCAGCCAACGACAGGCCTCTTTCTAAGGTCTTATAAAGAAAGCGCTCCACTAACTTGTTTTCGTGAACAAAAAAACTAATAATGCATGTGACTGTCACAAAGGTACTCAACAGAAAATCCAGGAGTCTCATCTCTTATCAGTATTTAACTAGTGTAAATAATTTATTTACTAAAAACTCTTATTTATTATTAAGATATAGATAGAAGCAAATTAAATAAATTTTGTTATTAAAATCAAAATCGCATCGAATCGCAACCTGTCTACGGCTTGGGATCCCGGTCTGCGCTCCTCATAAATGTCCCTGTGGCAGTGATGTCGATAAGCTAGGACATTACGGACTGTCATGCCAAAAAGTGCAGGCCGCTTCTCGAGACATGCCGCACTTAATGATATCATACGCCGGTCCCTTGCCACTGTCAACGTGCCAAGTCTACTTGAGTCTACTGGTATTGCAAGAGACGATGGCAAGAGACCAGACGGTATGAGTTTGATTCCATGGAAGATGAGTCGGGTGCCCTTCTCATCTACATGGAACCAACAACAGAGCTGGTGCGGCTTGTGAAGCGGCTGTAAAAGCAAAGGCAAGCAAATACAGGGGTCTAGGCTCCGAATATGATTTTGTCCCATTCGGTGTCGAGACCCTTGGTCCGTGGGGTCTTTATGAGTCCGTGAGCGCTTTATGGCTATTTAAGGAAATAGCAAAAATGTTAGCCGACGTCACAGGAGACCGAAGAGCTGGCAGCTACGTCGGACAAAGAATTAGTCTAGCCATTCAAAGGGGTAACGCTGCCAGTATCTTCGGATCCTTGCCTAAAGGGACTCCTTTTAATAATATATTTTAGTTATTAATTTAATTTTTTAAGGTTTTTAGTTTTATTGTTCTAGTCTAATATATAAAATTCTCGTGTCGCGGTGTTTGTGGTTAAACTCCTCCGAAACGACTTTCCCGATTCTCATGAAAAATTGTGAAAAAAACAACATCTATTTTTCATCCCCCTAAATGTTAAGGGTCCACCCCTAATTTTTTTTTCAATTTTAGATATATTTTTTTTTATTTTTTTTATGATACATCATACAAAAATACATACAGTCCTAAATTTTCACCCTTCTACCACCAACCCTTACTTTTTTATGGCGGTACGAAGTTCGCTGGGACAGCTAGTATTTATATATAGAGTAATTATGTAATTAGATGGAGACTTGTTTGTGTGCATATTTAATAAATGTTTATATTTTTCAGACAGTAATCTTGGATTATGCATATGTGTATATTTTGGTAGCATTACATTACTGTTAAAATTTTGTTTTAGTATCTACCAAAACAATACCTTATTGTGCTGCATTTATTTCGAACTCAGTGCACGCTATTCTTTACCTATAAATATGTAGTTATAACTACTGCACTAATTACTCTCGGAAACATTTATAAATATTTTATTCTCAAACTAACAAAAAGTTTACATTACAAAATAAAATCTTCAACATGAAAGGGCTTAAAACGGCATTCACAAACAAAAAATATAACATACATCCAAATTGCTGTGGACTAACATCGAAAATTATCAAATTGTGGTCAGATTTATATTTAATTATAGATTCCTTAGCGAGATTTCTTCTAATTTCTAGTGTATAGTGAAGTATCAAAGAACCGCAGTAAGTTTTTCTAAAACAAATAAGAAGGTAGTATATAAATCAACAGCCTTTTGCTACTGTCATATGAGGAATGTAGTTCATACACAGAATATGTGTCAAATAATCTAGATGAATGCTTGTACAGAATTATAAAATTATATCTGGATAAAGCACTCGTTGACTTAAATTGAAAGGAAGAAAAAATATCTAAATCATACTATTTTATAAAACAGTCACTTTTGACGTCGTCTTTATGTTCAAGATCTCAGAAACTACTGAACAGGCTTCCAAGCTGTTCCCACCATTAGTTTTTCAAAAAACTATAATACTAGTCAGAGAACAAAAAATAAAGTCTACCATGAAGCAAAGTGGGTCACTAGTAAAGAAATGGCTTATTTCTTTACTTTTATTGGTATAATAGATGTGAGTGTGAAATTATGTTCTCAATATTTGAAATTTCTATTATCCTATAATAAATATAAAGCATTAAAATCATTACTAATACTCCAATAGTATAAATTCTGGCATGATTATCTAAACTTAAAACTAAAATTAACATCAGTCTATCCTTTTCGTTGTGTATAGAGAATAACAAGGATACACTGTGTGCAAGTTAAATTTTAGGTTTAGATAATCATGCCAGAATCAACATCAATATCTTGATAATAAAACTGAAAGGTTACCAAAGGCAAAATACAAATTGTGGTAGTCTAACCTGGCTTTGCTGTGTGATTGGATCAGTCTGATGCGCTCTCTCCACTGTACGCACTGCCGCTAACTCTGAACCCAATGGTGGTGTTGGAGGTGATGAAGATAAACTGACAGGACTTCCAGGCATGCTCTCTGACTGTTCCACTACATTTACAGAACCTTCCAGAGATGCAAACCCAAACGATATGGGACCTGAGAATAGGTTAAATTTTCAATATAATAATAATAATAATAATCATTTATTTGCCAAAATATGGTTACAATAGTTGTTAGCTCTTTAGTTTCCAGCATATTTTGTTGAATGTCAACGTGCAAATATTACATAATATAAAAGACAATTAAATTAATGAGGTTTAGTGACGTTAAAATAAATAAAATTAATTTAAAGATAATAGATATACGCAATGTCACAAAAAAAGTACTTATAATCTATTCATAATTAACAAAGTCAGGAAAAATTGCATTGATATTGAATTAAAATGTCAGAAAATTACATATATTTATCATTTACATCATTTATACTATTAAATTAAATACACACGAATGTCAACCAAATATATATTAGGGTATTTTATCATTTAACAAATCATTAATTGTATAGTACATTTTGTTGATTAAAAATGTAAATAATTCAGTCCTAAATTTGGTTAAATTCAGTTTATTTATATTTGAGGGTAACTTATTAAATATACGAATGGACATACAATATGCATTTTTGGAAAATATCATTAGTCTTTGGATTGGAACACATAAGTCGTTCCCTTTCCTACCTCTATATTCAACATTTTTTTTTTGCTTATATAAGTGAAAATACTTTTTAACAAACAAATAGGAAAGGACCAAGCGAAGTTATTTAACTTTGTTTGGTCTGGTCTGGTATAACTCTAATTATGTGAAGTAAGGCAAAGTACTATATGTTGATTTTGAACAGTTGAAATACATTTTCCTAGAGTGAGATATATTTAAAAAAATATACATGCTAAAAATATTGGTTAGTATCATAGTTAACATATTTTCTTATTTGATTATGTGTAGCTCTCACCACTTGATCTGCCCACTGGATTGAGTCCTAGTCTCCCTCGAACTTCATTCCGTTCACTTGCTGTACTTAGTAAAAGTTTTGTCCGTTCCATGTAATCCATATGTGTCTTAAACAGCTCTGTATAACGTTCATGGAGTTTTGCATATTCCTGTTGAAAATTTGTTTACTTTTTTAGAATATCCTCTTTACATAATGCAAAGAAATCTAAATAAAAAGCTATAAATGTTTACATTCCTGAGTTTGGTAATATAGTTTGGTAAATAAAACATTTTATGATTCACTGTATCCCTAAGAAAAAATATTTTTTATGTAGTACCTTTTTAAGTTCATTTTCTCTCTCCTCCAATCTGCTAGCGTGGTCAAGGGAGTTCTTGTGTTTTAGCTCCAGCATCCTGACAATACTATCAAGGGCCTCTAGTCTTCCTGTCAGATCTTTCCTTTCACCTTCGTAATGGTCTTCAGCTTCCAACAACTATACAGAAATAATAATTATTTTATTTGAAATTTTATCTTGTAGATTGATTTACAAATGACAGTTGTTTGAGCTATCAAGAAAAAATAAAAAATACACAGGAGAAATTTAAACAATACAAGACTTAATAGTTGATGTTTTTTGAAAGGCATTACATCCTTTTAATTAGATAGGAAAATAAATATAAATAAATAAATATTTCCCACACTCACACCAATTAGCCTAGCCCTTAGATTAAAACACAAAGGGAAGAAACTGTATGCTCTTACTAGCATCAAATATAATATGATCCGACTCAACTACATAATCAACTCTCACACACACACTTATGTAAATAAAAATTCAATCGAGCGAGCGAAGCAGAATTATATGCTTCAATGCAGTGCAAGAACGGCGCGAGTCTGCGTCGCTTTGCAGCCGACTGCGTTTTCTTTTGTCTCTCTACAGACAGCTGAGTTGTATTGTTGTCCTTTTCTTGATAAAAAATGGCAAATCACTAAATAACATACATGGCAAACTGTGTATTTTGAAAAAAAATGTTTAAATAGTTTTATGAATAAAATGGATTGCCGTGGCATTTGTTATTTTATCTTGAACTATTTGTGTTCTTTATAAAAGCATTGAAGGCATTGCTTTATCTTTTTAACACAGAATATATACAACATTATTATATTAAGTGCACATGCATCGTGTTTGGATGTCCATATGTGACTAAAGCAAATCGTGTGCTGCATGCACCACAATAGGGTATTTTCCAAATTTGTGAAAACTGCTTATATTTAAAGATTGAGACAAATGATTAAACAGAAAAATAAAAATAAATAAATTAATGTCTTTTTTTCTCCATTAGACCAATTAAAGTTGAATTTATTTTTAATGGTTTTGAATTTACTGCTAAAACACACTGTTTAATAACATCTACTGTGCTACGTCAACTTAGTGTATGTTATGTAATCATTTGAAGGTCAAATTATTAACTTTTTTTACGTTTGCAATAAATTTATAGTATAATACTTTGCAAATTGCTTCGCTACTATCCTGATTTCTGCTACAGTGTGATGTAAAAAAAACTCTTTAAATATAAGCACTTTTCATAAATTTGGTAAATACCCTATTTAAGGAGATCACTTTTGAGCTCAAAGTGCCATATCTTCCCTTTTTGTTTTAATCTAAGGCCTAGCCCCTAAGTAAGCACTGTAAGGCTTGTTATGGGATGCTAAGGTAACAGATAGAATATATATACTGATACAAATATAAGTATATCTTATCTAAAAATATATATAAACATACAGACTAAACCCAGCATATATACCACTCGGCCACAAAGGTAATCGGAATATGAGTATTGCATTAAATTGCAAACACATCATAAAATTTTTACAATAAAATAAAATTGGTAAATATCTAAAATCCTCTGTATATACAGTAAAAATATTTTATGATTTAGTTTTTAGGCATGAGAGACCATTATCTTGAATACTAGAAATACTAGAATGTGTATAGATAGATTAATGTATTCACAAATAAAAATTAACAGTTTTTAACTTAAGAGCTAAGTGAATGATACAATATAACATGTATATAATTTAAAAAAAACTATTAAGTATTTAGCATATACAAGAAATTTCCTATATATAAGTTTTAAGGAGAGGAGTAAATCATTACATAAATAATGCTGCTATAAACAGCATACTGAATAACAGAGATTGACTTTACAAAACAATACAGGTCACTCACATAAACACAAATTACATATGCATTTTGATAATTATTATTGTACAGACCTTGCAGAAGAAAACACACTTTGCCCTAATATTTTAATAGCAACCATGGAATATCAACAAACAAGTTTACCTTGGGGTTGAGATAACAGAAAGGATGACACATTTGTTAGTAAAACAGTTAGAACAAAAACTATGATATAGATAATTACCACAAAAATTTATGTAACACACAAGTGTGCATCAATAACAACAAAGCAAACTACTGTGAACGCAATCGAACAGGTAGCCTTGTGCAGTAAAACAAAGAAATCTGTACCAAGGTCTGTCTGTGTAATGAGTAGCAGCTCACCTTTTGTTCAGAGTGCTTCCTTGCTGCCTTCTCCCGTTCATATTGCGTTACCAGCTGTTCGTTATCTTCTCGCAGCAACTCTAACTCCACTTCGTGCTCCTGGTTGGTCTGGTACGCGGAATCCAAGCACTCCAACACATTAACCAGTAAAGGCATCAGCGTTTTCACTACATCTTCATCGTAACGCGCTATCATTCGTTCGAACTCCTGATAAATACTTCCAGCCAACGATTGGACCTTCTCTGACATAACAACATGGGAATCTTCATGAGTTCCGTATATCGTCTCATTCGTCACATAACCACTACTGGATGTATCGTCGAAATTCATGATTAAAATAGAGGATTACGCACTAGGAACCTAAATTATATCAACCCTTACAAGGACTTCTAATGGATTTTACGCGAAAACATGATTAGCCGTTTTGTGTGTACGTCGAAAGATGGTACTACGATCGATTGTTTATGGCGACTTTAGGAAATTCTTGGTGTGGACATGTCGATTTTTGGTGAAAGTAGATAGGTATTGATATTGTAGAATACAATTAAATGGAGATAAAGACAGAAAATATATTATCTACGCTCACATCACACCATTTGTTTGATTGACTGACGTATTTAGTTACTAAAAAAAGTAAAAAACACTTTCGCGATTGACGTTGATTGATTTACTACCGTTTCCGGAAGTGTTCTGCTCAACTAGTTTTGTTCTCAATCTGATCTTCATCACCGAAACACAGGAAGTAAATAATTTGCGTTTAATATTTATTTTAAGCTCGAAATTTAGAGCTGTGATTCAGATAATCAAATTAATTAAACGTGTAATGATGCGTTGTATGTCTACTTAGTCTGTGACAAAATGCGAATTGTGTATCGTATCCGAACGTTATACATTACAAGATTCATGGTCCCTTTGCATGGTCCAGGTTATGGGTGGAGAGTTATAAATCAAAAGCTAAGTACTATCGCTAATTACAACCAACTTTACTTACTAAACCTTGGTTTTCCAAATTAAGGTTTAGTAAATCAGTTACTACAATTTTAATCCGAATACGCCTCGGACATGTTTGTACTCCTGATCGTTTGGCAAAATATGGTATAATAGATACGTCCACATGTGAATGTGGCGAGGTTGATGCTGACGTTAACCATATTTTCTTTTCTTGCCCCAGATATGACACAACCGCCTTTTTAGATTCATTGAAGACAGCAAATATTCCTTTTCTTACGTCCATTCCTTCCCTTCTATACAGGGCTGCCATCTCTAAAATATGGCAACCAGGATAAGACGCGTGATAACCCCGGATTTTGAAGCCCAGAACCCGGACAGACCAATAAAAAAACAGCTAAAAATGTCACAAATCAACTTTTTTATGTTGATCTAGGCAAAAGAGCTAGCGCTCTACCTCATAATAAGTGGTCACTGCTGCCCATGGACACTTGCAGCACCTAGGGCCACTCATGCGTTGCCGTAAATTTTTAAACCTGGACTACAAATAAAACCCCGCCCAGGCGCTCTCCGGACGCCCCGTAAACTAGGACAAATCCGGGGACACCCGGACGGATGGCATTTATCTGAAAAAATTATATAAAAATTTAGTTTATCTATTATATTTATATTTTTACTATACTTCCATTATTTACCTATATTTCCCTACCTACTCAACTGTTGTTCCTTTTTCTTGTTTATCGCAAATCTCCCTTTTTTTTCTTGTTCATATCGTTTCCTTATTTTTTCCCATCTGCAACTACCACATATCCAAGTACCAACTATCCATATTCCGCTCCTATAATCGATCAAGTTTGATCGATTTGCTACCCAATTAGAACAGATGAAACTTGCTTAAGGCAATTGGCAACATTAGCCGTCATGCCATAATAAAAGAAGAAGAACGTTAGGCTAATCGCACATTGAACATTTTTTTTTTAATACGCACATTGAACATCGCTACTAGTGTGACCAGATTCAGTATATTAATTTTTCAATATACGACTTCCATAACAACAAAAATTACTGAAACATACCAACTTGCACAGAAACATATACCTGTTCCTGAACAAGTCAGTGTATGTCATTAGTATTTTAAGAGGTGCTTTGGTTTTTTTTCGTAAAATTCATTCTGCTGACACTGGTCGCTGGCGTCGCTGCACACACCGTTCACATAGCTTTTTGTATGGTTTAGAATCGTACTTGCCGACCCCACGCTGTTTTGATACCCAATCCAGTACATTAATACACAAGCATATATGTACTATGTTCATGCACACAGCACTGTTCGCGAAAACATGGGATCAGTGTGAGCATATGGACTTCGAGCCCACCACTGATGATAATATTTCTTATTTTCGGTGTCATTTAATATGTACAGGCTTCCCGGCGGAATGATTGATCAGAATTGGTGGGCCCGAGAATGCTTTGCAATCCTTTAGGTTAGGTTTTAGACAAAAAAAATAACTAAACTCGAACTGGCTATGTACCGGCGGGATGATAATTTTAATTTCATGTGACGGCATGTTATGTTACAGCTACGGATGCATTCATTAATTATGTGATGCAATTGGGAAAGCAATATAAGCAATTGAAGCTAAACGACCATGTGGATCTCGGACCCACTAATTATAACCGAAAATCATAGCGATATTTACACCAAAATAGAATGGTCATAAAAGTATTTCAAAGATTTCTGTTTAAGTTTTAAGGAAAACTGCATTTTTTCTTTAGTAGGTCGGGTGACCATTATTATCCGGAATACAAAATTCATAGTCGAATGGAATAGTTGGAGTACAAGTTTCCTTAAATGATTTTAAATAAAACGAAAACATAAATAAAATTCTATTTCTTTTCTAAAACGCCATAATTAATAATTTATATTTTTAAAACTTAAATAATAAAAAAACGCACTTCTTGCGATATCTACCTATACAAAGTAATTAATCGTTACAACTTTCCTATATAATAGGTATGTACACTGAAGAGATTGATGTGTCCCCATGCTTGGTATTTTATTTCTTTGGTGAGGCTTGACTTAATAATATAGTCGAAATTTATATATAAACATCAAAACAATGGCATCTATTGACCATCATATTAATATGATGTCCACAAATGTAAAAACCTAGCACTTAAGCGATATGCCCTTACCATAGTTTCACCTCACCGAAATCTGTTTACACTCGATCTCGAATGAGTGAACTCCCATCTCATTGTCTAATGTCTAATCAGTGTTCATCTGAACCAAGGAACTTATATTCTATATGTAATACTTACGTGACCCTCAAACGCGTTCCGAAGAGTAAACCTCATTAGTGGAAGCAGTCTCTTGTCATGTCATTCATCGATAGATTTTACTCCTCACATTTTTCTCATACCGGGCCCCTTATATATGCAAAACAATTCTTAAGGAGTAAACTCCAAAAATATGTAACGCAATAGAAACAATAACTAATTGACATGAAGCAATTAATTCAAAATTGGTAGAAAACGTGACCGAGCTGAACCATAATAACGTATCAAAAGAAATGGTCGTACTACAATATTACCTATTTACAATGTCAATCTAACCTAAAAATGTGCAAAGTAAACAATGCCTTTTTTGGTCTCAAAATCGTAAATTGAGAAAATTTGTAACTTCAGGCAGATTACAAACAAATAGTTACACGATTACATACCCGTCATAGATGCTGTTCGCCCATAAATATCATCCAAATCCCACAAAATTCGTCCAGCTTGGTAGTCTTCGAAACATCGCTGGAAAACTTTAAAAATCACTTCCCGCGTGCCACTCCGATTTACTTTACTCATTTTTATACCTTTCTGCGTAAATTTGTCTTAATTTATTACAGTTTAATCCAAACAATAAAAAATACAAAAGGAAAACTGTTCCACAACTGAAACTCGATGACAGCTGATGTACATAAGTTAGTAGTAGTTAGTAACGATTAATTACTTTGTATAGGTAGATATCGCAAGAAGTGCGTTTTTTTATTATTTAAGTTTTAAAAATATAAATTATTAATTATGGCGTTTTAGAAAAGAAATAGAATTTTATTTATGTTTTCGTTTTATTTAAAATCATTTAAGGAAACTTGTACTCCAACTATTCCATTCGACTATGAATTTTGTATTCCGGATAATAATGGTCACCCGACCTACTAAAGAAAAAATGCAGTTTTCCTTAAAACTTAAACAGAAATCTTTGAAATACTTTTATGACCATTCTATTTTGGTGTAAATATCGCTATGATTTTCGGTTATAATTAGTGGGTCCGAGATCCACATGGTCGTTTAGCTTCAATTGCTTATATTGCTTTCAAAATTGCATCACATAATTAATGAATGCATCCGTAGCTGTAACATAACATGCCGTCACATGAAATTAAAATTATCATCCCGCCGGTACATAGCCAGTTCGAGTTTAGTTATTTTTTTTTGTTTAATGACCTCGTTACGTTTTTGTGCGCAACCTCATCTGCGCACCTTTCACTTTTAGCCATGACAACGGATAAAAAACATTAAGTTGTCACAAATGCCAATAAAATAAATAAACTAAAAAACCGGCCAAGTGCGAGTCGGACTCGCGCACCGAGGGTTCCGTACAAACCTGCAAGGTTTACAAAGTTCGTTCATTACGACAATCCTTAGAATTTTTTTTTCACGGGTTAAAGGCAATTAGATCTAAGTATTTGATATGAATTTCAACTTGATAGCTCTACGCGTTCATGAGGAAAAAAGTAATAAGTTTATATTTATTAAAAAATATATATTTTGTAATGTAACTAAAAATTTAAGGTTTTCGGAATTTTTCCTTTATGTGTGCTATAAATCGTTGCTTCATGCCAAATTTCAAGATTCTAGGTCGACTGGAAGTACCCTTTAGGTTTTGATTCCCTTGCGAGTACTTGCAAGTTTCAAAATATGCAGCTTAAATTGCTGTTTCTTTTGATTGCGTTGACATAGAAGTTTGATTTTGTTACAGCTTAAAGGTATTATAGACCTGAGTATTTGGTATGAATTTCAATTTAATACCTCTACGCGTTTATGAGGAAATTGGTAGTAAGGTTAAAATTATTAAAAAAAAATATATTATGTGATGTAACTAAAAATTTATGGTTTTCGTAATTTTTCCTTTATCTATGCTACAAGACGTTGCTTGGTACCAAATTTCAAGATTCTGAGTTCACGGGAAGCACCCTGTAGGTTTTGATTCCCTTGCAAGTGTCGAAAATTTGCGGCATAAACGGCTGTATCTTTTGATTGCGTTGGCTTAGAAGTTTGATTTTTTCACAGCTTCAAGGGACAGTAGACCTGAGTAATTGATATAAATTTCAGCTTTATACCTCCACGCGTTCCTGAGAAAAAGGGTCTTGACAGACGGACGGACGGACAGACGGACAACAAAGTGATCCTATAAGGGTTCCGTTTTTCCTTTTGAGGTACGGAACCCTAAAAATAGATAAAATCGGAGCAAAATTAATGAAAACAAATAAATAACAGAATAAAGAGAAATGCCGGTGATAAAATGATAAAATGTGTGACATGGAACCTATGATAGTCGAAACCACAGAACACAGAAAGATGTTAGAAGGGCCTTGTGGGCGGGGCAGGCGCGCCACAGTTAGTTGTGAGCAAATGCTCATAACTTGACCAAAACTTGGCAACGATTGCTTTGTTGCGATGGGGTGTGAGCGCCGATTGGTTCGATTGTTTGATGTCACGGCGTTTGATTGGCTAATATCTATTAGGTGTAAGTGTAGTGCGGGCGAGCCGGCGACATCGGTTCCCGCACAAAAGGTCTCTGAAGACCCTTCTAACCTCTTTCTGTGTTCTGTGGTCGAAACCATGGGACGATGCCTGAGGTATCTCTACTTGTAACCGACTTCTTCGGACTTGATTTTGTTTTGTGTCTGTTCAAAGACAATCGTTTTTAGAGTGTAAACTCCGGTCGTGCGTCGGAGCACACAATTTTTTTTCTTTTACTTTTTTTCAGGAAAATCAGAGAGTCGGGTAGTCAACGAAGGTTTTAAGAATGATGGAAAGTTTGAAACTCCTGGGAAAAAAGGCAAGGCCGACCAAAGAAAGAAATGGTCACTTAAAGAACCATGGCCAGATGCTTTTAGTGAAGAT